GAAGAAGAAGAAGAAGAAGAAGAAGAAGAAGAAGAAGAAGAAGAAGAAGAAGAAGAAGAAGAAGAAGAAGAAGGGGCTAGAGAGATGGCCTCAGTGCTTAGGAGTAGTGACTGCCCTTCCTAAGCACCAGGATTTGATTCCTATCACATGGTAGCTCATGACTGTCTATAAGTCCAGTTCCAGGCAATCCGAAATCCAGACTTACATGCAGGCAAAAACACCAATACATATTTTAAAATGAAGAAGAAGAAGAAGGAGGAGGAGGAGGAGGAGGAGAAGAAGAAGAAGGAGAAAAGAAGAAGAAGAAGAAGAAGGAGGAGGAGGAGGAGGAAAACAAAGAAGTGCTTTCTAGAAACTGCAGTAAAACATGGGTTAAGAGTATGTACCAAGCTGGGCAGTGGTGGCACATGCCTTTAATCCCAGCACTCAGAAGGCAGAGGCAGGCGGATCTGTAGTGCTTGTTTTTAAACTCTATTTTATTTGGGGTTCCTTAAAGCCTCTGCCTTCCAACCCCTCAACCCTAAGTAGGAGAGAGAAGGGGAGAGGGGGTGCAGACCCCTTTACTTCTCCCGGCTGTTTAGGGTTGATGGATTCTTTTAGGGCTCTACCAATCTCAAACACAACCTGTAGCCTCTGCCAAGCCTCTGCACTCCAAAGTGTTTCTCTCCGTGTGTCTGCTCCAAACCACCATACTGCCCATCTCTGGTCCCTCCAAACTGCCACTCACCACAGGCAACCACAGCACACCACACTTTCTCTTTCTAGGCTTTCATATTTATATCCTCAGAGCCCTAGACCAAGCCCTTCTCTGTGCTGCATGAGACAGGCCGTTACCAGCTGTCAAAGGCCATGCCCCCACACGACACAATTAGCAGCTGCGGTCAAAACTAAAGCCCAACTAAAATCCCACGCTTAAGACTAAAACAAAAACATGTTTACATAGCGTAATTAAGTTTACAAAGAAACCAAAAACTTCCATTACACGGATCTCTGAATTTGAGGACAGCCCTGGTCTACAGAGTGAGTCCAGGACAGCCAAGGCTACACAGAGAAACCCTGTCTCAAAAAACAAACAAACAAACCACCACACCAACAACAAAAATGTATGGACCAGATCCAGTAGTTACCTGTGACTTCGGGCAATTTATTTAAATGGCTCATCTGCAAAGTGGGATTAATCATAATGTGTCTATCATAGTGATGCCCTGAGGGTTAAATAAATTAGTAGATTATGAAGACTTCAGGAGAATGAAGGGCGAGGTCAGGATGTGCCGTTGCCGTCTTTCTGCCGTCTGTTATCAAGAGGGGTATAGGAAAAAGGGAGAGAGGCCAGAGCGATGGGCCTATCAGCAGAGGGGGCCTTCTGCCCCCCCCCCACTCCCAACCTCAGGGAGTGTCAGCTTTATTGGCAGATGGTGGACAGTTGCCAGTGGATTTAAGCCATTCACTTCCGAGTGAGTGTAGAGGATCCAAGCGCGGCATCCTGTGGACTCAGGAGCCCCCTCTAGTGGCAGTCTTTAGAAGGCAATGGGAAAAGCTGGTGGACTTAGTGCTTTGGCCTTAGGTCTGGTTGCTTTCAAGGGAATAAGGAGGGGTTCAGTGAAGAGAGGGGAACACATGAGGGAGGCAAGGAATAAACGCGAGAGAACTTAAGGACTAGGGCTTCAGAAGACAGCAAGAGGGAGACACCCAGGGCAACCTCTGGACCTTTGCACCTGTTTTCCCTTTCACACAAGTTGGCATCTCTGCAGTATTTGGTTTCATGGGTGAACGCTTGTAAAATCGTAACCCTGTTTTAATTTTCTTCATACCACTTATGGCCGTCTGAATTGTTTTTCCTATGTATCTTACCTTAACACATAGAATCCAGGGGCTGAGGAGGTAGCTTATTTGGTAGAGGGCCTGCCTAACATGCCCAAAGCCCTGGGTTTGATCTTTGGCCCCTCATGAGCCAGGTGTGGGGGCACAGATCTGTAACCAGCACTTAGGAGAACTGAGGCAGGCGTGTCAGGGGTTCTAAATCATCCTCAGCTCCGTATCAGCTTTAAGGTCAGCCGGGGCTCCATGAGACACCACTCACAAAGCTAACAGTGTCTACAGATAGATAGTTTGGCCAGTAGCTAGCTCAGTAATGGAGTTTGTCAGCAAAGGTTAGCCCCTAGGTTTGATCCCAGCACTGTGGAGGAGGAGGAGAAAGAGGAAGAAAAGGAGGAAGACGTGGCAGCTAGATGTCTTGGGTGACTAGATGGACTCTCAGGGCTGAAGTTTCCATGCAGGGCTCTCTAGGCAGTGGTGTTTGCACTGAGATTCAAACAGGCTGGAAAATGAAGGTCTGCAGGGCATGGTGGTTCACGCCTATGATCGCAGCGCTTGGGAAGTGAAGGCAGAAAGAGTGCTGCAAGTTTGAGGCCGGACGAAGCCACTTGTTGATTCCCAGACCAACCTTGGGGTGACCCCGGGTGATATGGGGTCATGGTGATAGCTTGGTAATAAGGATCCCACATCAGAAGCAGTGGAATCGTGGAGCCCAAAGCTTCTCAAAAAAAAAAAAAAAATTCAGTGGGACAGGGTCAGTGCTGTGTCAACATTTCAAGCTTCCTGTCAGAACTGGCCTGTCAGACTTCCTGTTAGGGTCCTGCCTGCAGAAGGACTGTCTCCCCAGAGAAGGGTAGCTCAGTAATTCCTGCCCCAGACCTCAGCTCTGTCTCTCCTTCAGCTATTCTTGCCATCTCAAGGTCCCTTCTCCCCCACTCCATATAGTCCCCTTGGTAAGTAGCCCTCCAGAGCTGTTTTGAGAGTGAACATCCAGACAACCAGGACAATTGCCATTCTCTGGGGAAAGGCCATAGCTCAGGAAAAAGGCACAAAAGAATCGTGCAAGTTTCTAGTCAGCTCCCGAGAGCAAGAAGTTCCCGGAGGATGCCTGGTATCGTGGAGCAGTGAGGCATGTAGGGAATGACTCAGTGTTCAACCCCTTCTCATTCAGGATGCCGCCGAGGCTGGGGCCAGGTCCGGCTACCGTGGCCGCCGTTCCCCTCATAGTCCTCACGAACGCTTTGAGGGGCTCACGGTGCTCAAGGCTGCTCAGGTAAGAGGAGGCGCCATGATTGCGCTGATGCTCGGGGACTTGGGGAGAGAGGCCATGTCAGGAGGCTGGATAGCAGGGCCTAGGCTCCTGTGGAGGAATTCTCTTGGCCACCTAGATCATTCTTGGTCCAGAGTTGAGAAAGGAATTATTCTGAGCCTCGGGGCCCTGGTATCGTCACGGAGTTGCTGAGAGGAAGAGTCTGGGCTACAGGACAGAGGCATGCAGTCAGAGGCATGCAGGAGCTGGTACCAGTCCTCCCCTCCATGGCCTCTTTCCCTGCCCGCAGCTGGCCCGCGCTGGGACTGTGGGCAGGGCAGGTGCTAAGCTGCTTCTGGAGGTGAGTGAGCGAGTCCGGACCCTGACCCAGGCCTACTTCTCCCCGGAACGGCCACTGCATCTTTCCTTCAGCCACCTGGTGTGCCGGAGTGCCATAGAAGGTAACCACCAGGTTACCCCACCCCATCACACCTGTCCAGCCTTGGGCCCCCTCCGTGTAGCTTCCGTCTTCACTGCAGAAAGCCCCCTACTGGCCTAACTGGGGGGCAAGGAGCATCTCTGCTCATTTGTCACCCCGGGAGCTGCAGGCCTGTGGGAGGGGTGAGCGCAGTGGCCCAATGGTGGGGATCCTGATTCAGTCACTAGGTGTGTTTGCCTCCTAGGTGAGCAGGAGCAGCGCATGGACTTGAGTCACCCGGTACACGCAGACAACTGTATCCTGGACCCTGACACTGGTGAATGCTGGAGAGAGCCCCCAGCCTACACCTATCGAGACTATAGGTAGGTGGCCTCTCTGATACAGGCGGGTAGTCACACAAAGGCCCAAAGGCTGTCTTGCCGCAGGCCTAGGATTCTGTGGGGGGTGTCTCACCGCCTCCTGTCTCCTTTACTTCCCAGTGGACTCCTCTACCTCAATGATGACTTCAAGGGAGGGGACCTGTTCTTCACGCAGCCCAACGCCCTCACTGTCACGGTAGGGGGTTGGGCCAGAGGGCCCAGCTGTGGGGTCAGGATTCAAAACAGAAGCTGTCCAGAGGCAAATGCAGGGAAATGGCTGGGGCCACCTTAACCCTGTCCCTGCCCGGTGCCTCTCTAGTCCTGCTGGCCATGTGTTCAAGGCTTTCAGCAGAGGTTGACTGAGCCCCACAGGAGCTAAATGCTCTCCCTCCCTGCCTTCGTGGTTTGCCTCACCTCCTAAGGGTGGCTGAGCATAGCCAGGTACAGGATACACACTTGCAGTGCCAGCAATGGAGGAAGCTAAGGTTGGGGGAATCGCTTGAACCCAGGAGTTCCGAGCCAACCTGGGCAATGTACCAAGACATCCTCTCACAGAACAAAACACTGGCCAGTGAGGTAGCTCAGTGGGGACAGGTGCTTAGCCCTAAGCCTGACGGCCTGACTTAGCTCTCTCTAGAACTGGCACGGGAGAAGGAGAGAACCAGTTCCCACACATTGCCCTCTGACCTCTACACCGTGCCTTGGCATTCGCCCCCACCCCTAATAAAAATAGGAAAAGCTTCAGACAAAAACAAAACAAGGAGGGGCTGGAGACGTGGCTCAGTGGTTCAGAGCACAAGGCTGCTCTCCCAGAGGACCTGGTTTGGTTCCCAGCATCCTCATGGTGGCTCACAAAGAGCTCTAACTCCAGTTTTGGGAGATCAGGATCTGACACCCTCTCCCGGCCTCCACAGGCACCAGGAACACATGCAGTGTATAGATATACATCGAGACAAAACATTCACAGAAAATACAGTAATAAAATATATTTTTTATAAAACCGAGGGAGAGTGAAGCACAGCCCACAGGGCCCCATGGAGCCCCGGGTCCCTGTTCTAGGGATCTGAAGGCTTAACCCTTCCTCTCCCATGGCAAGGCCCCTAGTAGCATAGCCATAGACAGGACCATTGGACTAGAGTTCGTATTGGGGGTGGGGAGGGTTCTTAACATTTCTGAAACTCACTTTCCTAAGTAAGTAATAGTAATCGATAGTAATAGTACCTATTATTATTGACACTGGCATTATTATTATTAACAGTCTTGCTGCATAGACCAGGTTAGCCTTGAATTGACTATGTAGCTAGCCCTGGCTGCTCTTGAACTTACAGCAGTCCTCCTGTTGGGGCCTTCCATGAGATTATAGCCCTGCACCCCAAGTGCACTGACTAGCTGATCTTCCCTTCCTTTGCTTTTGTATTTGGAGACAGGCTCTCCCTCTGTAGCCCTGCCTGGCCTGGAGCTCACTATGTAGACCAGGCTAGCTTTGAGCCACAGAGATGTGCCTTTTCAACCTCCCAAGTACAGGGATTAAAGGCACGTGCCACCGTGCCTGGCTCTGCGCACACACACCGTATGGAGTGCAGGTGTGAGCACCTCACAGAACACACGTGGAGATCAGAACAAGGCTTCAGGGGTCATCCTCCCCTCCTGTCTCTGCCTCACATCTGGCCCCAGAAGTGCTGGGATTACAGGCAGGAGCTATTCATCCAGCTTTTGTGTGGGCTCTGGGGGCCCGAACTGAGAACCTCACACTTGCACAGCAGGCTCTGTACCCAAACTGAGCCATCTTCCCAGGACTATGAGAAGGAATTTTCTTAAATGTTTATCTATTTCATGTGTGCATATGCAAGGGGCAGGCGGGGGGGGGGGGGAGGTACAGGCCACACACAGCTTGTGGGTAAGGAGCAGGGAACTTGTAGGAGTTGGTTCTCTCCTTCCACCGTGCAGGTACTGGGGGTTGAATTCAGGTTGTTGGTCTTGGTGGCGAACCCCTCTACGTCCCTGAGCCACCTCTCTGACCCCAGAGAAAGTAATTTGTATAATATGCTTTTTAAAAATAATTAATGGATGTTAAGTGTTGCTATTCCCCCATTCCTTGATCATGAAGACTTCTATTCCCGGGCCTAGAGGTGGGGCAAGAAGCGGGACAGGCATGGTAGTATAGACCCGAAATCCTAGCATTAGGGAGGTTGAGTCAGGAGTTCGAGGCTAGCCTGCGTTACGCAGAGGTAGCCTGCCTTACTCTTTACTCTAAAGCACAAACAGAGAAAATCAATAGCCTCTTTGTGCTCGTGCACAATCTAGGATTTTCTCAGGGTGGAAATGCATCCAAGGATTTGCCTCCCTCCATCCCGTCTGGTGCTGCTATGGGGCCCTCAGATTGCTTCACTGCAGGCTCATGGGGTCAGGCAGGAAAGGTCAGGCTCCAGGAGAGGCAACCAACGAGAGACCCTCCAGGAGGCACCTACCCCCATGGCTTCCATCTCCTCCGGCCTCAGTTTTGCCCCAAGCTAGTCCTTGAGTTAGGAAGCAAGGATGAGAAGCCTGATGCCGTGTTCCTTGGCCCCCTCAAGGCTCAGGTGCGTCCTCGATGTGGGCGCCTCGTGGCCTTCAGCTCCGGCGGTGAGAATCCGCACGGTGTGTGGGCTGTGACACAGGGACGGCGTTGTGCCCTGGCACTGTGGCACACGTGGGCAGCCGAGCACCGGGAGCAGGTAAGGAGGGGGTAGGCAGAGGAGGAGGTTAAGGGGTGGGCAGGTGGGCACCTCGGAAGCTTGCCAGCGGGTGACAAGATGGCCCAGAAAGGCGAATACAGAGGACTGAACCACGGTTCTATCCATCCATCCGCAGGAGTGGACGGAAGCCAAAGAGCTGCTGCAGGAGGAAGAGGAGGAGGAGGAAGAGGAGGAAGAGGAAGAAATTCTCAGCAGAGACCCTTCCCCAGAACCCCCAAGTCACAAGCTTCAGAGGGTCCAGGACAAAGCTGGGAAGCCGCTCCGGGTCCGAGAGGAACTATGAATGCCTGAGCCAGCTTTTTAGGGATATGGCCACTCAGCTTCTAAAGGAACCAATGAGGAGGCCCTGTGTGCCATCAGGAGCAGAGTGGCATGCCCTGACTCTTCGGTCTACCATCTTGGGGACCTACAAGGACCACCAAAGCCCTGGACTCACCAGCTTCCTACACAGACTTAGGCTAGGGCCCATCAGGTGTGGGAGCCAGGTCTGGCCCCAGCGGAGGGACAATGGTCGCCATGCCTCCCTGAAAGGCCAACTGCTTCTAATAAGGAAGACTCAGAGGAGACTGTCCCACCCTCTCCCAACCTATGCAATAAAGAATGTGACACTCCCAGCCAGGGCCTGGTTTGGTATTGCCTGGTTTGGTATTGCCCGGCTTCTGTGGCTGCTGGAGGTGGGGGTGGCTAGGGCTGGCCTGGGAGGAGACAGGTGGTGTCTTTGGGCCTCCCAGAGGTGGAGCCATGGGAGCCTGTGATTTGTCAGGGAAATCTCAGCCACCTGCTGCCTCATGCAAATCCGCCCGTGTGCCCATCACCACCACCACAGCTGCTCCTTCAGCCTCCAACTCTAAGCCCTGTCATCTGACCCTGAGTATGGGTGAGAGGGGTAGCCTGATCTCTCTGGCTCGTACCTTCGCAGTGCAGTAAGACTCCGGGAGTCATGTGGGCAAGCAGAAAGACGGACTTCCAGCCTAGGAGCAGGACACAGAGTTCCATCCTCTTTTGTAGTCATTTCTTTGCCCACAAGGTAGGGGCCCATCGGCCCAGCTGCCCCCTGAGTCCCGTCCAACTAGGATCAGACCCAGGGGCAGCTGGTTGGGGCTTGTCGAGAAAAAGGATTATCCAGCTCAGCCCCTTCTAATCTCAGCTTCTGCCTGTACCCTCTTCCCCCACGGCCCTCAGTGAGGGAACATGGTTTGGGGTGTTGACAACAGGGTCATCTAGCACCCTTCTGCCCTGGCTCCTGGCCTGCTTGCTGAACAGGCCCACACTGCCAAGATCATGACCACAAGTGGGGACCGGTGCCTGGGGGCTACTGGAGCTGCGGCTGCTCCTGTTTTGCTCCCCAGACCCAACCAGTAATCCTCGCAGCTTTTCTCTGATCCCTGGGCTGATGCTCTTATCTCTGCCAGGACTGACCATGGAGGCACCCCTTTATTCCCCCCTTCTTGTGGCTGGATGGGGAGGGGTGCTGTTCTTCTTTGGCTCACTGGCCTGCTCCCCACCCCTCCAGGCCAGGTCCAAGTCTCTGGAAGCCACACACCTCCCTTTCTGGCCTCTCCCCCAGCCCTGCCAGCTGATTTCATTTGCCTGACGTGGTTGTTGCTTGCCTTCCCCTTCCCTGTCAGTCTCCCCCCCCTTCTCAGTCGGGGCCAGGCCAGGCCAGCTCCTCTGGCAGCAGAGGGGGGCAGGTGACAGGCAGGCATCGAGGCTGAGAGAGTGAGGAGGCGCCCGGGAATCGGAAACCTGGGAGAAGTCCAGACAGAGCCCAAGTAAGAGGGAGCAGGCCGGCTCTGCCCTCTGGGATTGGGGGCCACAGGGAGGGCTCAGGCAGGGCTGGGATTGATATATACAGGAGGGGGAGCCCCCCCATCGCTTCTCAGGAGTAGGGTAGGGTGGAAAGGACATGGTAGATGGGGACTCCCCAACACATTTTTCCGTGTTCCTGGCAGGAACCAGAACTACCCCTCTACCTGTGCACCATGGGGGAGATGGAGCAGTTGAGGCAGGAAGCGGAGCAGCTCAAGAAGCAGATTGCTGTAACCCCAGAACCCATGTCCTGGGGACCCTGGAAAACAGAACCCGGGGAGTGTGGCCTGGGAGGGATTGTGTTCACTCGTGGGTGATACTCTGATCTGGAAGGACTCACAGGCTTTCAGTTCGGATCTCACATTTGAGACCACCGCCCAGCTGCAGAGCCCCATGCCCACCCATTATGTGAGGTGCAGATGCCTGTCCCCTACCCCACCATAGTCTCTCTGATGCCTGCTTTCCCCGTAGGATGCCCGGAAAGCCTGTGCGGACATCACCCTGGCTGAGGTGAGACTTTCTGGCCCCCTGAGGCAGGACGTGGTAGGAGGGGAGGGGACTGGAGAGCACCTCACGGCCAGCACCATACTGCTGACTGAGCTTTCAGCACATCCTGTCCTTGAAGTGAGGAAAGACATTCGTGAATTAATTCAGCAAATGTCCATTAGGATCTGTGCAGGGCCAGCCATTACAGTGGATGCTGAAGACACGGATGCTGGGTGTGCAGGCTTTCTCACAGACTCGAACTGCTGGTTGGCTAAGGCTACATTTCGTTGGTTCTAAGATGCACGTTTCCCCACAGATTTTTCTACCATCGCGCTGCATCTAACAATACACGATGCCTTGTTAGTTTATTGATTCTTACTTGGTGATACACAGAATAATGCAGAAGTGTTAGCTCCAAACTGTGTGGGGTGGTGCAGATTTGTAATCCAGCTACGTGGAAGACTGAGGCAGGATTGGAAAGTCAAGGCAGGCCTGGCCTGCAGAGTGGGTTTGAGACCAGCCTGTCTCAAAATAAAAAGTCGAGCTGTGAGGACACGAAGTTGGGTGGGGGTAGGAGGTGAAGGGTGGATGTGGGGGGATTAAGAGAATCAGAGGTGAATGCTGTCAAAATGCATGGGTGTGTGAAACTACCAAATAGTTAATAGAAATATTATAGTAAAAAGTTAAAAAAAAAAAAGGGGGTCTGAGGATATATTTCGGTGATAGAGTTCTTAGCTAGCATACTTGAGGCCCTCGGTTCAGCACACAGTACTGAGGGGGGAAAAAAGAAAACAGAATTGATGGCCTTGAGTATGATCACAAGAGCTAACATCATGAGAAAGGTGCTGGGCGAGACACTTAACTACATAATGCTATGTTATTTCCATGGCAACTCTGTGAGATAATAGGCTCCGGGGGGAGAGGTGTGATGATTTGCTGAAGGCGACAATGTCTGGCAGACCCAGTCTGTGGACTCCAGAGGCCTAGCAGCCAGGAGGCTGGAGGGCAGGATTTCAGCAGGTGCAGCCCCAGGTTATAGCAATGCCGCTGAGTGTCGCCTGAGTGTCGCCTGTGTGCCGCCACGGCGTGAGAACAGACACCGCTGGGTCTGCCAGCCAGCCGCCTGTGTGTATCTCTCTCCAAGTTCATGTTCAGTGGCCTCATACCAGGGGCTTGTAATGAATCACAGTGGGGTCAGGTCAGCTGCATGTGTGCGTGAGATTACCAAATAATTCATGGAAATATGTTAAAAAAGTAAAAAAAAAAAAGGGATGTCTTTCGGTAGACAGAGTTCTCTGCGAGCCTACCTGAGGTCCTGAGTTCAGTCCAGCAGCTCCTCCTCCTCCTCAGTATGGAGTCACTAGGCTAAACACTTACCATATTCAGCAACTTGCCACTAGCTTTCCAAGCACCTGTCTACCATCGGAGGCCCAGTCTCTCTAGGCCAGGGTCCTCGTTCTGTAATGCTGGGGAACCTGCTCAAGTGTCTGGTCCCCAGCAGAAGCTCATAAGGAGCTTCTGTTACAGCCATGTGAAAGCCAACACCCCTTTCTCTGCAGCTTGTGTCTGGCCTGGAGGTGGCGGGAAGGGTCCAGATGCGGACTCGGAGGACGTTAAGGGGACACCTGGCCAAGATCTATGCCATGCACTGGGCCACTGACTCTAAGTGAGGATCGGGGAGGGGGGTGGTCTAAGGGGAGGGGGGACAGGGGAAAACGGGCACGGATGACACAGGTGCCCTTTCTCCAGGCTGCTGGTAAGTGCCTCGCAGGACGGAAAGCTCATCGTGTGGGACACTTACACCACGAATAAGGTACCAGCCCTCCTTCCTTCCTGGGGAGGCCATGCCTAAGCTGTCTGTCCTGTTCATCCACAGCTCGGGTCCCACCTGCCCCAAATCTACCCCCCCCTGCAGGTGCATGCCATCCCGCTGCGTTCCTCCTGGGTCATGACCTGTGCCTACGCACCGTCAGGGAACTTTGTGGCATGCGGCGGGCTGGACAACATGTGCTCAATCTACAACCTCAAGTCCCGGGAGGGCAATGTTAAGGTCAGCCGGGAGCTCTCCGCTCACACAGGTGAGAAGCCCTCTCTCCCCGTGTAGGGGAAAGTCCAGGCCCCTGGCCAGTTGTGACCCGGAGCCAGCGCACTGTCCTTCATAATCACCTCCAGGTTATCTCTCCTGTTGCCGCTTCTTGGATGACAACAACATTGTGACCAGCTCTGGGGACACCACGTGGTAAGGGTTGAATGCCGTGGGTGCTGAGGAAGGTCGTCCTGTCCTGGGCAGCCGTGACATTTCTCGGTGACGGGCTCCTTCTCTCCTGGCAGTGCCTTGTGGGACATTGAGACGGGGCAGCAGAAAACGGTGTTTGTGGGACACACGGGTGACTGCATGAGCCTGGCTGTATCTCCAGACTACAAACTCTTCATTTCCGGAGCTTGCGACGCCAGCGCCAAGCTCTGGGACGTGAGGGAAGGGACCTGTCGCCAGACTTTCACTGGCCATGAATCAGACATCAATGCTATCTGTGTGAGTGTCCCCCACCCCCTCCATGTGTGGCCTTCAGGAACCGCCTCAAACTGCCACACACGTCTTATCGGCCCTAAGCCCTTTCCTTATAATTTTTAAAAATAATTTTACCTTGTAGGATAGTTTCAATGCCAATGACAAGAAATCCTATGTCTGCTTCACCCAGACTCACCATTAATAACACACACACACACACACACACACACACACACACACACTTAGATCCTCCCGTCTATTCTTTGTAGGTCCAGCTCAGAGCTTTTGCCCTGCCAGACAAGTGCCCTACCACAGAGCTACACCTTAGTCCTCATTCCTGGGTCCTTGGAGAGTAGATTACATGTATCATGGCTCTGTGCTCTATATACTTCCTGGTGGGCAGAAGAGGGTATTGGATCCCCTAGAACTGGAGTCACAGTCACGAGCTGTCACGGGGGTGCTGGGAACTGAACTTGGGTCCTCTGCAAGGGTGAGTGCTCTTAGCTGCTGAGCCATCTCTCCAGCCCTGATCACAAGTTAAAAAATCTTTCCCCCCACTAACACAAAGTCTCACTACATAGCTCTGGCTGGGCTGGAACTGGCCATGTAGACCAGGCTGGCCTCACACTCGATCCTCCCGAGGTCTTTGCCTCCCAACCAAGTGTTAGGATTAAAGATGTGTTCCACCACCACCTGGCCAATTTTTAATTTTTTTAAAAATTATTTTGAGTGTGTGCTGTACATGTGGAGCTAATCTGAAAGCAACCTTTGGGAGTCAGTTCTTTCTTTATACTGTGGGGCCTGGGGTTCAAACCGAGGTCATCAGGGTCATGTACCTTTGTAGCCAGTCCTTTCACTGGCCGAGCCATCTGGCCACCCCCCCCCCAGTTACTTTATTTTCCATACATTTTATTTTTGTCATGCTCAAGAATGAACCCAGATTAAGCCTGATGAACTGCATCCCAGTCCTTTCTTCCAGCTTTTGAGACAATCTCACTGAGTTGAGCAGATTTGACTGGGACCCATTTTATAGCCCAGAGGCAATTCTTCTGCCTCAGCCTCCCAAGTGCTAAGATTACAGGTATAAGAGGACATCCCCAGCTACAGCGTAAGACTTGTGTGTCTGAGTGCTTTGCTTGCGTGCATGTCTGTGCACCACACGCGTGCTGACACCTGTGGAGGTGAGGTGTCAGACACTCTGGAGCTGGAATTGCTGTGAGTCACAAGGTGGGTGCTGGGAATTAGACGTGGGTCCCCTTCAAGAGCAGCCAGTGCTCTTAACCCCGGAGCCATCTTTTCAGAGCCAGCATGATTCTGAAAACCGGGAAATTCAACACTTGCAAGACCTTGCAGTTCATATTCAAATTTAACCAGTTATCTCGTAAATGGTTTTCTACCCAGAACCCAGTCCAGAAACATGCATGTCCTTGCCGTGTCTTGTCCCTAGACTGGAACCATTCCTGTACTTCTCTGGGGTCTATGACATTACTTTTTTTTTTTTTTTTGAGACAGGGTTTTCCTGTGTAGCGCTCGCTCTCCTAGAACTGGCTCTGTAGCTCCAGGCTGGCCTCAGACTCAGGCATCTGCTTGCCTCCGCCTTCCACGCGCTGGGAGGAAAGGTGTGAGCCACCACCACCCAGCGATATTACATCTTTTTGATGAGGACACACAAGTTCTCTGTAATTTCCCTCCAGTGTACCTGTTCTTCTTTATGATGGCGTTCAGGTTATCCGCCTGGACCTCGTGCTGTCCTTACACACCCTGATCTAGGCCATTAGGGTAGTAGTGATAGGAGGCCGCTCTTTTAGTTGTGTGACCCTGGGAGACCCTTACAGCTCTTGCCTGCAGACAGTGCTGTAGTCGGTGGCAGAGGGAGCTCACAGAGGAAAAACACAGCAGTGAGCAGCTGCCTCTCCCTACCAAGAAACAGACACAGAGGCTGAGAGGAGGCTCCCGCTCCCGCATTGGGAGCCAGGAAGCAGGCAGGAAGGCAAGGCTGCCCCGGGTCTGGGCCCTGACCACTTCTTACCCGCATCTTCAGTTCTTCCCCAACGGAGAGGCCATCTGCACAGGCTCTGACGACGCTTCCTGCCGCCTCTTCGACCTGAGGGCGGACCAGGAGCTGACTGCCTATTCCCACGAGAGCATCATTTGCGGCATCACGTCCGTAGCCTTCTCGCTCAGTGGTCGCCTGCTCTTCGCGGGCTATGACGATTTCAACTGCAATGTCTGGGACTCCATGAAGTGTGAGCGTGTAGGTAAGGGTCCCCCTGGACACCCCAACCTGCCCTCCTTCCCTCTGGAACCACTTTTTCTACTTTTCTGGGATCTAGGACTTTCATTTTATTTTATTTTATTTTATTTTATTTTATTTTTTTGAGACAGGGCTTCTCTAGGTAATCCTGGCTGTTTGTTAGTTCCAGGCCTCAAACTCAGAGATCCACCCGCCCGCCCGCCCATCTCTGCCTCCCAAGTGCTGGCATGAAAGGGACCCTCTTACTGCTGCTCCCTAGTTGTTGCCCACCTGGAATGTTGGAAACCAACACCCTTTGCTTCTGAAACTAAGACCATAACTAAGACCATGGCCCCTGCCCCCAAACAGGAAGTGCTCTAAGCAGCCCTTCCCCGGCTTAGTGCCCTGCCTGCTCCTTCTGGTAACCCCCAAACCTGTGTACCTTAAATGTCCAGTCTTTTGGGTATCTGAGGTTCCAGGGCCATACGCTTAAGGGACAGCCTCAGGGAGGTGTGGATGAGAGTAAACCAAGCTGTCCAGAGCACCAAGGGTCCTGGGCCTTGTCTAGGTTTGGCCTGGTCTAGAGTGGAAAAAGACAGTTGGCTCCTATCAGGAGCAAAATTGCTGAATGAAAATGACACATACCCCAGAGCCATGTTCCAAACTCTATTCAGCTGCTTACTTTTTGACTTTACCTATACATGTCACTCCGCTGGGCCTTGTTCTTATTTTATTTTTAACCCAGAAACAAAGGACCCCTTCCTTGGGCCCTTCTAAGTGCACCTGGCCTTCCTCACAGCATACTGACATTACTAATCGGTTCACCCTTGCCCCACCAGTGAGTCAAGTTCTGGCCGGGGACTGGCCTGAGAAGAAATCCCTCTCCTCAGGGCTAATCCTCCTTCAGTTCCTTAGTCTCCATCAGGGGCAGTCTAGTCCACCTGAGCTAGGGCTTCTGTACATGCACAGGCCCTCATCGTGGCAAAGTTGGCTGACTTGTTTTTCTCTCTTCCTCAGGCATACTCTCTGGCCATGACAACAGAGTCAGCTGCCTGGGGGTCACAGCTGATGGGATGGCCGTGGCCACTGGTTCCTGGGACAGCTTCCTCAAAATCTGGAACTGAGGAGGCTAGAGGTGGAAAGCCCTGAAGAGTCTCAGCTGCTTCCTTCTACACCCCATCTCCTTAGGGTCAGTCTTCTATACCCCAGGGGCTGTTCCCAGTAAACTTCCTTTTGAGAGTGATAGGAGTTATGGGAGTGTGCCTTTGCAAGCATCAGGGTCACAGGGGCGAAGAACGGCCCCATCTCCTCCCATGGCCTCCCCTCTCCACAGTCCTCACAGCTCCTCCTGTAATAAACAGGAACGGACCCCGTCCCCACTCCTAGAGTCCTCCTGGGCTGCCAGTAGCCTTTGTCCAGACTGGGAATGGCCTGGGTGCTCAGCCCATGACTATGGATGCCACTACTAGTCTCCTGGCTCCATTCCCTTCATACTTTCTCTTTTCTATCCTTTTATTACCTAATAAAACATAGCTGGTACCTCTGTGATGTCTGGCTTCTACACCCTCTGTGCTCCCGTTAACAAGCAACAAGATATTACAAGTGCTAAGTACTAAGTAGACTGTGGGCGGGATGCAGGATCAGGGCAGGAGCTGAGGTGGCTGGGAGGTGTGTAACAGCTTGCTACAGACTACAGTAATAATGTGTACATGCCCACGTAGGGGTTGGATGATAAAGGGCCCTAGAGGCCATTAAAGAGTTTCAAGTGGGGTAGTACCATGGTCATGATGCTTGTCAGAAAAACTGCTCTAACAGCAGTTTGAGGTGGTGAACTGTAAAGAGAGACTGGCCCTAGAGGCCCATCCAGGGATGAGGCTTGTGGTTAAGAAATGCAAGGGCAACAGAACTGGGCCTGAGTGTGTAGCTCAGTGATAGGAGGCTCAGTGATGGAGTACTTACTTGCCTGCCATGAGCAAAGCTCTGGGTTCAGTCTCCAACAACACACACAGACATGCGCACACCAGGCGAGACAGGAGGAGAAGACATTAAAAACTTAGAATCACCAGGATCTGGTGACAACCTCACAGATATGTCATTCTGAACAGGAAGAATTCAGTATGATGGCCGAAGCCAAGATTTAGGTGTGAGCAGATAGGTGAATGACAACCTTGCCCTATCCATAAGGAGAGAGAATAGGCAATGAGGAATAGCTTTCAGAGAAAGATCTTAGGTTTTATTTTAGAGGAATTAATGTTGAGTGCTTATGTGGCAAGAGTGACCTGAAAATTACCAGAAACAGATAATAGCTAAACCCAAACAAAAGGGGAACAAGAGAGAAGGGCCAAGGACAGAGCCTTGGGGAACATCAAAACTTTAGCTATGAAAGAGGCCCAGAAGTGGCAGTAGAGATATTTTTATAGGCCTCAGCCCCCAGGCTGTCATTCTGCACACAGAAGACCCAGTGCAGCTCTTGTCTAACTTCTTAAAGCATCATTTAAAATCCTCTCCTTTAATATACAAGAAAACACACAAAACATAAAAGAATGAAGTCCAAGTACCAGAGTTGGTAATCTGGGAGGAATCAGAACACAGGACTTTCCTCCGTGCCCTTTGGGAAGAAGAGGTGAAGGACACAGAATAGCACCAGGCTCTGGGTGAGTCCACATGGACCTAGTTCTTCATCATAGCAAAGTGCTGGTTTTCCTTGTCATGGTCCTGGTTTTGCTCCCATGCTCCTCCTCCGGTTTTCAGAAATCTTCCAGTTCCAAGAATGACTCCTTCCTTTAGGTCCTTAACATTCTCATTTAGAGGAGGCCGCTTACCCTGCAAAAGGTGGTATGTGTGAGGCAGAGGGATGTTGTTAGAGAGAGGCCAGAGCTGGGGAAAAGGGCCTCCCACTTTAATAACAGATACTCTTTTTTTAAAAAGATCTATTATATATATATATATATTTGTGTGTGTGTGTGTGTGTGTGTGCGCTCTATCTGCAAGTATGCATGCATGACAGAGAGGGCACCAGATCTCATTATAGATGGTTGTGAGCCACTATGTGGTTGCTGGGTATTGAACTCAGAACCCCTGGAAGAGTAGCCAGTGCTCTTAACCACTGAGCCCAGCCCATAAAGATACTGTTAGTGACAATGTTCGCCCTCTTTTCCTTTACCTGTCGCAGCATCAAGGTCCCAGGGGAGTTGTCATCCTGCAGGATGGTGAGAGGGGACCTTCCTAGTACCTTTTTGTTTGCTTTCCGTCTACTGCGCTTAGAACCTATGTTAAGAAAGGTTTCGTTAAAGTAAGGACTCAAAGTTGAGGGCTTCCAGTTCATTCTTCCTCCATTATCCCAGGACATGATTCTAGCTTCTCTTCCCTCCATCTTGCTCTTCAATTTTGTACCTGAAGACTGGGGAGTCTCAGGGTCTCTGGAGGGCTTGTCTGAGTTCTGGCTGGCAACTATGGCCTCTGTGGGTTGTTTTGCTTCCTCCTTGGCACACTCTGGTTTGGAGGGGAGTTCAGTGTGGCTCCAAGGCAGCAACTGGTCATCAAGGGATACCTGAGTATCCAAAGGCAGGTCCAGTTCCGAAGATAAAGGTGTTTCCTGTGGCAGAGCAAGCTCTGGGGAGGAAACCGATTCAGACGCTTCGGTCTCAAATACTTCACTCAGCTCTTTCACCAGTGGGCTCTTAGGGTCTAGAGGAAAGAAGGGAAACAAGCTGTGGCCTTCTGATACAAACGAGGGAGGAAAAAGCAAAGGTTCTTCGAGACTCATGCTTAGAGGGACAGGGAATGGGAAGAGTAAAACCAAGATGGGATGAAACAAAAAATGGAGAAAAGCGAGATGAAAGCTGGGGGTGTGGTTCATCGGCAGAGTGTTGACACAAGCAGGAGGGCGGGGTTTCATCCCAATTGGGCTAGGGAAGCTGGGCATGGTAGTACAAGCCTGCAATTCCAGCACTCACAATTCTAAAGTAGGACTGCCTCAAGTTTCACCCTGGGCTACAATATGAGACCTTGTCTTAAAAAGAAAATAGGAAAACAAACAAACAAACAAACAAAAAAACGCCAGATTAGTGGATTAAGGAGTTTGTTGCCAAGCCTAATATGGTCTGACTTGGATCCCAAGAAACTACATGGTAGGAGAGAACTGACTTCCTAAAGTTGTCCTCTGACCTCCACACATGAACTGTGCCAGCTCTGTATGTGCCACACACATGCACACATAAAATACATGTAAAAAAAAAAAAAACAGTGTAAGTGAGAAAGGTTCAAAACAGAAGGATGGAATCCCTGGCATGTTCAAAATGTGTGGTTCAAACTCCCAACAACAACAACAAAAAAACGAACAAAAACCAGTAAAACGAAAACGGTCTTGCTACCACCCTAGAACAGGTGTCGGTTTCATCAGCATTCCCTGGCCCAGCACTTACCAGCACCACTGATCTTCATGGGTGTCCGTGCGATCCCAAGGGTGGGAGAGCGAGGATCAGGGTCTTGTGCCTGCTTACGACTGTTCAGCTCTTCTGCCGGTGGGCTTGGCTGTGGAGAGCTCTCCACCTGTCAACACCCTGGGTTAGAATATAAGTCTGGTCCCTGATCTTCCTCCCATTATTCCCAGCCAGAACTGCTAATGCAGCCTGCCCAGTGCAGATTGAGAACGCAGAAAGTTGCCAGGCAGGGTAGTGGCACATGCCTTTTATTGGGAGGCAGAGACAGGAAGATCTCTGTGAGTTCGAGGCCAGCCAGGTCTACAAAGTGAGTCCAGGACAGCCTGGGCTCTGTTACACAGAAAAACCCTGTCTCAAAAAAAAAAAAAAAAAAAAAAAAAGTAACAAACAAAAAGCAGAAAGTCAGTCAAGAAAGAAAGAGACCATGAATTTGAAAGACAGCAAGGAATGGCATGGAGGGAGGGAAGAGAAGGCAGAATGATGAGATTATATTAGAAAATAATGAATCAAAAATAATTATATCAAAAAATAATTAATAAAAGAAAGTAAAGTCGGAGTGGGAGGATGAGGACTCACACAGAAACAAGCCGGGCGGAGGCCCAAGACTCCAGACAGCTTCCCGCATTCCCACCCTAGGCCAGCATACCTGAATAGGGGTGCGCTGGATGCCAGCACTAGGTGAACGAGGGTCGGCGACTCGGGCCAGATGCTTGTTGTGTGGCAGAGGCCTGGCTGGAGTGCCTGAGACGCTCTGAGTAGAACCCATCTCCACCAGGGGTAGGGGACGGGGCCCGGCTGTGCAGATGCGGAGGAAGGGTCGTCGGTCTCAGAGCTTACCGCCTCCGGGTCGGACCTTTGACCCCAGACCCACCCTAGCTTCCCAGTTTCCAGCCGAGGAACTTCCGGGTCGCTAGCCCAGAGCCCTCTGCGGGGATAATGAGCGGAACCTTCTAATGGAGCATGCAGATTGAGCCGCTAAATTTAGTCCCATCACTTACTGGGGCGGGGGACCGAGCTCGGCCACCGGGAGAACAGCAGCTCGAGGAACAACTCCTCAAGCTAGGAGTTTCAAACTTCCCGCCACGCCCCCTCGCCCTGATCCTATTGGCTGAGCCGAGGCAGCCTCTCATAGGCCAGCAGGGGGAAACGCGCCCTTTACAGCAGAAAGCCATTGGCCTGGAGGACGTCTCTCAGCGGGCCTGGCCAATGCGCTGAGGACCTGCCCTCGGGAGAGCCGGGGACTGTTGTTCGGCATCTGCAGGTCAGCGGTCGGCTTGAGGTCCCGAGGAGCGTTACTCAGCTTTCCTAGAATGAATTATTAAAGTCTATGCACGGAACTCGCTAGAGACCAAGTTAGGATGGTCCGCCTAAGGCGAGGCAGCAGCTCTTATCGGCTGGACGGCGTTACCACGTGTCTCCGCCTCCCCGGCTACACTGCTTCCCAAATGGCAAGAACGCAAGAGCCTGTCTGCTCTCCGCTTGGGCGATAGTCTGGGTTTAAACGACCGACAGTTTCTGCTCTGCACGGAAGGCGCTCTAATTCCAGAGCCCCTGACTCAGAGCACCGGCAACCGCGACCCTCCAGGCACCTCCGCTGGCGCGCCTGCCCTGGAAAAGCGGGATTGGTCCTTTCGAGCGTCAGTTGTGCCAGCGGCGCTTCTGATTGGCGCTCGCCGAGAGTGGGGCAGAGGGCGGAGAATCTGGGGGAAGGCCGAGTCCCAACTGCCGTTCTCGCGCGTCTTGCCTTTGGCGCATGCGCCTAGCGAGTCGCACTCATTGGACGCGAGAGTAGGAGGGGGCGGGGAATAGGGATAGTAGGAGCTGCTGTGTGAGGAGGTGGTGCTGCCGGTGTCATGGCGGAGCTGAGTGAGGAGGCGCTGCTGTCAGTGTTACCGACGATTCGTGTCCCCAAGGCGGGAGACCGGGTCCACAAGGACGAGTGCGCTTTCTCCTTCGACACGCCGGTAAGCCCCCCCCCCCACGCCTGCACCGACCACGACTTCCATCGCCCTGGTCATTCGGCCAGGCCTGCAAGCCTTGGGCTACCGCCTCCCTGCGATGCACCCTGGGACTTGTAGTTTTCCCCGCGTCTCTCTGCTTTTGCTTTTCATTATCCCGAACTGTAGTGTGACTACCACTCCCGGAAGCTACAGCTATCGCCTTGCCTAGTCCTGGTCTCGTGAAGCATTATGGGCATTGTAGTTGCCCGTGTGCCTCGTTACCATTCTAAGCTAGAGTTGGAACCCGACTGGCAGACTACATTCCCCAGGTGACGCCTAGAAAAAAGCCTGGGAGGTGGCCTTGCACGTTGCGCAGGGCTCTCCGGTTTTTGTAGTTTCATGTGCTAAGACTTGGGGCGACTCCCCACTGTTCTGGGCAGGGTTTGAGGTTGGGAAGGTATGCACTGCAGCTTCTAGTCTGGGAGAGGGCTGAGAAGAAGCCCAGTTTGGAGAAAAACCTTAGTTAAATAAATAGCCTCCACTTGTGGTTAATTTGGACTGGGGATGGGGGTGGGTTTTTGGTAAGGAAGAAAAACACCCAGTGGAAAGCTCTAGTCGTTTCTCCTTTGAAGTGAACTACGGCCGCGCCCCCCTCCCTTTTCCTTCGTCCTTCACAGGTTGCCGAGACAACCCTCTTTCAAGTATTACTAGAGAGGGTTTCTTTCTTTGGAAGATGCTAAGGCCCCTCTTCCATCTTGCTCCCACTCTTGTCTAGTTAGACAAAGCCGCCACCCACACCGTGCTTCACGTTTTGCAGGCCCCACCTTGTACCTCCCTTCCTGCAGTCAGCCTTCCTATGTCATCCTGAGCTGGAGGCAAGCCTCCAGGCCCTAACTGAAAGGGCTGCAGTTTGGTTGGGATCCGCCCCCCTCACTACCCCTCCCGTCAAGCGGCTGTTGGGCCCTGCCCAGAGCGTTCAGCCAGACCAGCTCATGGCCTGAAAACTGCAAGTCAGACTAGAAAGGCTTCATTAATGCGTCCCCAGTGCTGAGTAGAGCAGCATGATGTGATGCCCACTTCAGGACCAGTACTGTGATTTGTGGTTTGCTTGGTTTGCTGGGCTTTGATTAAAGCCCTAGATAATGCCCTGACCTCTCTCAAGTTGGCCTTGGTAGAAGCAAAGAAGGACTGCTGGCCAGAGCGCCAGGGTTTTCTATCCGTGCTGAAGCCAGCACCCTTTCTTTTCATCTGGAGAGTTGCTTGAGAGTACCTACCTTCCTCCCAGGAGGGAAAGGTAGATGTTAGTGGGTCTGCCTTTACGCTTAAAGCAACTTAAAAGTTCTTCTTGTGTCTCCTTAGTACTTTATATGACCCCAAAAGAGTGTTATTGTTTGTTTGGGGTTTTGTATGTGTGCGTGCGTATTTTCCAACACCTTCCCTTTTTCATTCCAAGGTAAGAGATCTCCTACTTGATGTAGTAACATCAGATCATCCTCTGATGCTTTTTATGGAAGAGAGTGTAGTTGAGGTTTGTGGCGAGAAATGATTTATTCATGAACATTGCCTTCTTCACTCTTCCAGGGTTTAGTGCAATTTCCTGGTTTACTACTGCCTTAGATAGTGTCCTAATTTTGCTATCACAGTGGAGAAAATTTCAAGGCCTCTAAGAAGAGGATGCCTGTTGTCAAAGTCTTGGATCTAAGACAAGACTCTTTATTCTCCAGTTTCCCCTCCCACCTTCTCTATCACTCTTACAAGGGCACCCACATTTTAAAAAGCACTGAGAGACTGCCTTAGCTTTGGGGGAGCCTGTCTTTCCCTCCTTGGCTGTGATTCGGTGTGGGCACCTATCTTCCCTGTTCTTATTGAGTGTTGTGTAGCCTAGCTATCTCAGCAGGTGTTGCCAGATTGTTCATAAAGGGATATCTCAGATGTTGTGGTGGCAACATACCTGTGACCCCAGCCAGCCCTGGGAGGTTGAGGCAGAACAGAAGTTTGGGTCATCCTGGGCTACACAGTGAATTCCAGGCCAACCCAGGTTACATGAGATCCTGCTTCAGAAATAAGTAAAAGTAAATAAAAAGGTTAGCTTTGAGGTCACAGGTTGGTAGGACTTAAGTGGGGATCTTACAGAGGAGAGGGATGGGGTAGGGGGTAGGTGGTGGCTGTAAAATGATGGGCTTCATGACCTTACTAAAGTATGTTCAGGTTTAGCAGTGAGTCCCCAACAAGGTATTTGTCCCCGAAAGCCAGGGTTTTCCTCTCGTAGAGAGTGTGGCAAAGGACAGGTCTGACTGTTTCAAGCTCAGGTTAGGTGTGCTGCTCCGTGCTACAGTCTCTGCCCCTCTGATCTAGTAGGTTTTCTGAATGACAGATCAGGTAGGGCTTGTCTGATTGGGGATCTGTCTGAAAATGTAGACCCCCGCCCCCACCCCCCAGGAAGGACCTCTTTTTCTTCTGAATGTAATCCCTGACACTGCAAGCCCCGTTTACTTTCTGGATTTCCTGAGCTGGGTAAAAGAGGTGAAGGCGCACTCTGTGGTTGGTTGGTGGGCATTTAAGCCCACTCAAAGAATGAATGAGAAGGGGATTGGTGGCTGAGGGCGATTGCCCAGCTGCCTCATGAGCTTGTTGGCTATTTTCAGATTCATACGGGGATAGGGGAGACCTTCAGCCACATATGTCCCAGAAGGATTAGATAAGTTGCTAAGAGCCACACAGTGTTAGGACATCAGCAGTTTCTGACTCTCAGTCCTTGGTTTCACCGCATGTGCAAGACTTATCCTTCTTGTGTTTTCCTGCTTGTGTTGTGCCCTGCAGGAGTCAGAGGGTGGCCTCTACATCTGCATGAACACATTTCTGGGCTTTGGGAAACAGTATGTGGAGAGACATTTCAACAAGACAGGCCAGCGTGTCTACCTGCACCTCCGGAGGACCCGTCGACCGGTAGGCACAGGGGCTAGGGTGCAGGCTGTAGACATCTGGACACATTCCACAAGGTGCCTATTTTGAATGTCTTTTTCCTTCTTAGTTAGGGTTATTGATATGGTGAAAAACCATGACCGAAAGCAAGTTGGGGAGAAAAGGCTTATACTTTAGTTGGCTTACACTTCTACATCATAATGTATCATTGAAGGAAGTCAGGACAGAAACTCAAGCAGGGCAGGAACCTGGCGGGAGAGCTGCTGCAGAGGCCATGGAGGAGTGCTGCTTACTGAATGGCTCAATCTGCTTCCTTATAGAACCTAGGACTACCAGCCTAGATTTATCGTGACAGTGGGCTGAACCTCCCACTTTAATCATGAAGAAAATACCCTGTAGCAGTGGTTTTCAACCTTCCTAACGCTGTGACCCTTTAATGCAGTTTCTCATGTTGTGGTGACCCCCACCAGCTCTCAATTGTTTCACTGCAACTTGCCACTGTTTTTTGTTTTTTTGTTTTGTCTTAGCCTCATTCCATTGTGCCATTAACCATTCTTGTCCTTCCATCTTCCCCAATTGTTCTGTCCCTGGGGCTTACTGCTGGTCCTAACCTTCTCTCTTCCCCCCGACCCCCCACTTTTTTTGTTTTTGTTGTTGTCTTTTTAGACAGGGTCTCGTTGTGTAGCCTTGGCTAGCCAGGAGCTGATAGAGGTCCTGCCTCAGTCTCCCAAATGCTAGGCCAACATCATGCACCATCGTGCCCAACCCTCTGAGTCTCTTTTCATTACAGAAAGAAGAGGATACCAGTGCAGGCACTGGAGACCCACCTCGTAAGAAGCCCACCCGGCTGGCAATTGGTGAGCTATCTGCTAGAAGAACTCTGAGCCTGATTAGTGGCCTTAGAGCTCTGGAGGGGACAAACTGCAGGAGAGACGATGACAAATGGTAGTTGCCCTGCTTCTTCCTTATTCCCTGTCCGTAGGTGTTGAAGGTGGGTTTGACCTCACTGAGGAGAAGTTTGAGTATGATGAGGACGTGAAGATTGTCATCTTGCCAGATTACCTGGAGATCGCCCGGGATGGGTTGGGGGGCCTTCCCGACATTGTCAGAGATCGGGTATGACTATCTTGCCACCCTACCCAAAGATTCCAGGACAGAAGGGGCTGCTCTGATCCTGCCTGAGTAGCACTAACAAGGGCGGAAAGGGTACATGCGGCAGGGGTCGTGTCTTGGCTGACTGTCTGCATCTTCTAGGTGACCAGTGCAGTGGAAGCCCTGCTCTCGGCTGATTCAGCCTCCCGCAAGCAGGAGGTGCAGGCCTGGGATGGGGAAGTCCGTCAGGTGTCCAAGCATGCCTTCAACCTCAAGCAATTGGACAACCCTGCTCGGATCCCTCCCTGGTGAGGCCTGGCTCCTCCCATTCTGGGCACAAACCCTTAGGCAGGGGTAGAGAGACCATCCTTGTCTGGGAGCTGGTGAGAGAGAGGGTAGGGAGTGATACCAGGAAGAAGATGTGGGGGACCATGAGCAGTGCAGGGGACAGCCACAGAGAGAAGAATGGGTTCCTGGACTGGCAAGGGCCTGCATAGCCCCCTCTCGCTGCCACTGCCAGAGACCCCCAACCCACAATTCAGCTACTTTTCTTCTCCCTGGGCTAGTGGCTGGAAGTGCTCCAAGTGTGACATGAGAGAGAACCTGTGGCTCAACCTGACAGATGGCTCCATCCTCTGTGGCCGACGCTACTTTGATGGCAGTGGGGGCAACAACCATGCTGTGGAGC